TTATTTTTATTATTAATTTATTAATTATTTCTTTTTTTAATTATTATCATAACACTGAATTAGTTTTACTTTCTTACGATAAATATTCATTTTGTAACTAAACTTTATATTATTAATAAATAAAAATATTTTATATAATTTATAGTAACTCTGTATATCACAATTACAAAATTTTATATTATATTACTTCAAATTTTTATCTTCGGAAATTTGTTTTTTCATTTTCCTTGTTTAAAAAAATCTAATCGGTTTATAAACTGATTAGAATAATTATAATATTTTTTTTTCTTGTAGGAGGCTTTTTTTTGGCTATCGCTAGTCTCACAATTGCTTATGCGTTAGTTGTGTTTTTATATTTACTGTAAGCGAATCATCATTTGATTCAAAATTTTGACTGGGTCCCCACCCCCAGTCGCCAATACGAATCTTATTTTGATTCTTGTAAATTAATAAATAATATTTTTTTTCATTACAAATAACTTTAGATTTTTTATTTAACTTTAAAATAAACTTAAATTAAATTTTTAATTTGTTTCTTACGTTGATTTGGTGTTCCCGAATCGTTGATTCAGCTACAGTCCCAGCCTCACACCAAATCGTAGTAAGAACCGCATCAAAAAAAAAATATAGGACTGATTATGTATACTTCTCTCTTTCTCTCTTCCTCTTCGTGTTGGTGTTTATAAAAAAATTTCGAACGCCTCGATGCTTATGATAAGCAATCACTAACGCGATTGCTTCTAAACGCAATCTCATTTTCAAAATTCTTTTTACATATTTATAAAAAAAATAAATAAAATAAAAAATATTTATTTCTTATTAAAATAGTCTGTAATACAAATATTATTTTCTAATTTGGAGATTTCTGTAACTGCTTCTCTTAATGAACCATGCTTGGCTAATCTATCGGCTTGTTTGTTTCCATAATTTCCTAAATGACCTCTGACATGAACTAATTTAACTATTCCAATTCTATTGTCAATAAGTTTTTTTAACCTTTTAATTAATTCTTGGTTTTTAATAGATTTATTATTATAACTCATATATCCATTTTTTTTCCATCGTTCAATCCAATCTTCAATTATACTAATTACATATTTACTATCTGTCATTATTTCTAAAGGTTTTGTTTTATTTTCACAAATTTCAAGAGCACGAATTACAGCATATATTTTTGCACGATTATTAGTTTGTTTTGATCCTAGTAATCTTTCAGACAAATTTTGATTATCATTATCAGCAAAAATACACCTACCAACAATTGAATTTAATTTTCCTAAATACTGTTTTTTACTATTTATTTCTTTACAATTAAAACAATAACTGGTTTTATTGAATCTAAATGAGCAAAAAATCATTGATTTGGAAAAAAAAGTATTCAGATTAGAAAAAAATGAATTATTAATCAAAAAGATCTTACAATTGTAATCAAAAATATATTTAAAAATCTATAAATATGTTTAT